ATCTTGTAATTTAATGAATATATTCCAATTACCTTATCTAAATCCTGTTAAACAACAGTGCATGGAATTTAAGCTAGGACTATCTACAAACAACATCTGTGTTAGCACTAAAATCTTTAACTGTGCTGAGATGGAGGAAGCATGGGTACTGGAACAGTTTATGCAGTGCTTGTTGAAGCTGGTTCAATGCCTTCTAAAAAGGAAGTGTGGGATGACATTATTTTGCTAATCATACCCATAAATAACACGACTATAAATTGTCAGATTTACGGTTTTCTCAAAACCAGGGTTGAGATTCCCTTCAGTTTTCTCAAACAGGTGATTGGTACTTGCAGGTCCAATTAAAGTTACTTCAGGAAGAGAAAGACTACCTGTAAATTATGAGAATTCTTGGAGTGATACTAGAAATTTAATTTGCATATTTTGTTATGAAGTTCAAAGAAACTTCGGCTAACAGTTGTGCAAACGGTGTGGATCTTAAATATCTTTATTTATTTACATATGGAACATTTACAATATGGAAAAATCAATTGAAACATCCCAAATTAAAATCTAAGCTCTGATATTGGGGGAAATTAATGAGTTATTTTTATATTCACTTTAGTATATATTTCCATAAGGGTTTTATGCATATCTGACAACTAGATGGAAAGTTCTTTTTTTTTTAAAGTAGTAATTCTAAGAATTCAGACAGAAATTGAGCAATTCTGAGAATTCAGGATGTGTATTGCATGCCACTCCCTCCCCATATGAGCCAACATAGTTCTTGAGATCCAAGTTTTACATAATGGCACCCATGCAGTCTTGAATTAGTTTTTGTGCTAATTTAAAATATTACAGTGAAATTGGGTAAGTTAGAAGGAAGGAAAACTCCTGCTCACCTTGTGAATTCACTGATTTTAGAAATAGATTACAGTAGTAGCAGCTAAAAAAAAAACATAGATAGACCTAAGAGGGGTTGCTGTTTTGGTCGTTTCAGGGACTTTTCCATCTAGAAGGGAATATAAATCATGTAAGTAGCTGAAATATTTAGCAAATGGAAACTTCAAGAAACTTTGGAAAATGTTGGGTTTTGCTGATCTTTTTTCTCCCTTTATTTTGCATTAGGACTTTGCAGTTCTGATCTTATCAGACTAATCAATGATACTAATGTGAAAGACATGGGGGAAGAGCTGTACTTCGCAATGAGAAAATAAATTTTTTTTTCTCTAGCTGAGACATGCACATAACCATGTAATCTTGGTGGTAATATGCAAAATCTTTGCCAGGATGTTTTTGCTTTGCTTGTTTGTTTGTTTGTTTGTTTGTGCCTTCTTAATCTAGCTTAGAGCTCTGAGATGACCTAACAGTTGCCAGTTCAAATACTGTACTAAGTAGATTTGATTTTGCTCACTTTTTTTTGCGGGGTAACTCAGTCAAGATTAGCTATGTACTGTTTACCAATTCAGCTATAATGAAGTACTTGTGCAGTTGTAAATGCTAAAGCACAATTGGATAAACGTGCCCAATTATATTTCAAACAAATGCATACATGGGTCTTCAACTATTGTTCACAAATCATTTTGAAAAGCAGCCCTTCACTGGACACATTTCAGTAATTTAATATGTAAATTGTAGTTTATGGTACACCAGCCTACAGTAGCAATTGGCACTTCATGCCTAAGAACAACCTACACATCCTGTGTAATATTTATTTATTTATTTATTTTATTTACTTATTAGAATTTATTATTACTTTTTCAGGGTGAATGTAGCACAATCTCTCTAGTATGTTCAGATGAATTATAACACCCGCCTATAGTACTTGTGGATGTAGTGGTCTGAGTTTCTGTTGATTTATTTTTACCTAACTATGGATAGACAATCCATACAGACACAAAAATCATGTATAATTGTATCAAGAACTGCATTACTATGTCCAATTCTTCCTAGCTGCTAATTACAGCATAGAAGTGATTTCATTTTATTTACATCTTGTCCTCCTCTTAGAATAAACAGTCTTTTCTCTGAATTGAGAAACAGGAAAATCAGGTTTAAGCTTCTTGCAAATTATGGCAAACAATTGTAGATATGCTTCAGAAAATGGGACTGACAAAAAGATTTGCTAAGCCTTTTACATTATTTGTATGCACTCTGATGTATGAAGAAAGGCCACTGTTTGTTTCATTTATCTTTGTAATAATTTAATGGGAGAAAAACTAGTATTTTGGTGCATTCTAAAAAAAATTCCTTTGATGGCTATATTATTTCCCCTACTAAAAGACAGAATCCAATTTTATATTTGATTTCTTAAAAGGGAAAGGTGGGTGAATCAGTGCAATTGACTCCCAGATACATACATAGGAGTTTAAAAGTTATTTTGACCAATCTGCTGCAGAGTTTATCACTTACTGCACATCAATTCAAATAGGGGTAAGGGGAGTAAAGCTGGCTGTTAGATACAGTCTGCAGCAGGGACTGCAGGAAGTTTCACATATGCTGCTAATGATTATATGTATACTTAAGCAATGACTATGCTCATGTAATACATTCTGGTTTAGCACAATGAGAAAACCCAACCATTGAATAGCAGCGATTCTTCAGAATTCTGGAGGGGGATTCTTTCTCACCTCTCAGCAGGGATTGCTCTTGGAACCTCAGTTGCACTCTCTGCCATTGAAGTATGTTTTTAATAACTCCAGCTGCATGGATTTAGGTTTCTCTTGTTTTCCAGGAAAACCTGTACTAAAGAGCTAGGTTTTTTTTTCCATAGGTTTTTTTCCCCCCTAGCTGACAAAACCAGATTTTTCGAAAGCATGTCCCTGTGTTTAGTATAAGAGGGTGCAAATAGCTTTTGGACTGAAAGAGGTTGGCAAAGTGTATTTCTTGTGGGTGATGAATGTTCCACATCCAGGACTTTAGCATTTTGTTTTTGTGGCTTTGCTCTCTTTTCCCTGTTGGCACAGGTGTTATGCAAGGATAATCTTATAGTGATTATGTAATGATCTTTTGTGTTTTGACAAGTTGCTTAGTATATAAGCTATTTTGAGACTTCATGCTATCAAATTAGGAGTTCGAGACAGTCAAGTAAGAAGTTACATAACCGTCTCCCTATATTTTTGCTTAATGAAAAACAGATGCTGGATTGAGAGGTACTTTACTCTTTTCTCATTCTCTTCTTGCTCAGTCACGCTTATAACCAGAGCCCCTTTTCACATGATTCTGTGTGATCATGTAGGCAATTTTGTTTTGGCTTAGCATGCTACAGTAATGTTTAAAAGTTTGTGAGCCTTTTTGAATATGATCTAAATGTGACCTGTTCTCAGAAATGAACTATTATGATGATGTTGATGCATTTGTTTACTGTAATTGTGACTCCTGTGAAGAACAGATCATGTGTTAGGTAATATTTATACAGAAATATTGAAAATTCAAAGGGGTTTACAAGCTTTTAAGCACCACCGTATGTGGTTTGTGAACCATGATTTATGAGTTAATTCTGGAATTTACAATATGACTGTCAGGGCTACAAGGATACCAGTGGTGGGATTCATCCAGTTCGCACCTTTTCGGGAGAACCGGTTGGTAACTTTCTAAGCAGTTCGGACAACCGGTTGTTGGAAGAAATCTCATTTTGTTTTTTCCACTTTACAGGGCTAATCCTGTAAGGAAGGCAGGAAGGAAACATTCTGGTGTTGTTTCTAGCCTCATCTTTATTGCCCTGCTTACAGAAACTGCCTCTCTTGTTAACCCTTATTACATTGTAACAGCTAAGGCGAAGCGCCCATCGACCTGAGTGACCTTGAGTTGGCCACGCCCACCCAGTCACATGACCACCGAGACCCACCTACCCAGATGGTCATTAGGGCAGAGAACCGGTTGTTAAATTATTTGAATCCCACCACTGAAGGATACACATCTACTTTCTATATTTTTAATTTTTCTAAAAAAGTGAATCTGACATACTGCAAAGCTCAGCCCCAATCTCTGTCATCACCTTTACTTCCAAGAATATCCGAGCCCCAAATCAGCTTCATGAGCTTGACTGGAAAGTAAAAATGGTTGGCCGCAAACCAATTTTTAGTTTAGAAATATTAAAACTGCTCAGGAAAAGTCAACTTTGAACTCAGGTTATAGGTAAAATTACTGCTAACTGGGACATTTTAATCAGAATGCTCCTTGTACTCTTTGGATATTCCTGGTATAGTAAATGTCTATAGAGATTCTCTGTTATCCAGATCATGGCTGTCCCAAAAGTGCTTTTCAGAAGGCAACTGGACTTCCTTGGGGTTTTCCCCTTTTCTTTCCCTTTTCATCCATGAAGCTTGTTCGGCTCTGGTATAGCATCACATGCGCACTCAAAGCCAGGACATAGGAAGGGTAGTTGAAAGTGGAAGTGGGATCCACAGTTGTGCAAAGCCTTATTTCATATGACAAATAAATGTCTACCCCAAAGCAAGCTGCACCAAATTTAATGGAGCAGATGTCTTGATAAGTATTCCACATACTCTTGAGATCCTGAAAAGTGTGTTTGAAAGTAAGGCCATTTCTTTCTCAGAAATAGTTTTGTGTTTTTCCTGCCACCAGATTTCTGGCACTTCCTCCTTCTGAGCATGAGAAATGCTTGCAAGGCCACTGGAGTTCATGAGTTATTTGAAGGATGAACAACTCTCTTGCACTTTTCTGTACTTACAACAGTTTAGTGACCGTTCAAAATTACAACTGCTCTGAAAAAAGTGACTTAAGACCATTTTTCACATTTATGACTATTGCAGCATCCCTGTGGTCATGTGATCAAAATTTGGATGTTTGGCAACTGGCTCATATTTATGTTGGTTGCAATGTCCCAGGGTTATGTGATCTTTTGACAAACAAAGTCAATGAGGAAGCCAGATTTACTCAACAACCAGGTTACTAATTTATCAACTGCAGTGATTCACTTAACAATTGTGGCAAGAAAGATTGTAAAATGGGCCAAAATTCACTTAATAAATGTCTTGTTTAGCAAAGGAAATTTTGGGCTCGATTGTGATCATAAGTCGAGAATTATCTATACATTTAAGGGGGAGCACTTGGGGCATTTCACATTTTCATAGTATGCTGACACTACATTGGGCTTAGAAATAAACATGAGCTGAACATCCTAATTCCTCCAAAATAAATCTGCATAGCTAATCTCAAGCTTCCATAGTTTTATAATCACCATAAGAATTTGCAGGCCAGTTCCATATAAAAGCAATATAATGCTTTCTTTTTTTCCCTTCCAGTGTTGACCCTTGTGGAATATTTTCACAAAATATACCGGTATTTATCTGATTCTTATCTTATTAAAAACTACAATGCTAATAACATTGTTTCCTGTGCTTCTAATAAAGTATTTTTCAGTCCTTCATCTGGCTTTCAGGTTGGGTTTGCCTCTCATTTAGCCATAGTTTGGTTAATCATGGAATAAGCTACGATAAGGCTCAAATAAGTTTTCAACTATTAGAAATCTTTCTATTGATAATTTTGACAGCATGCAATGAGTTTCCCTTCAACCCTTAGCAAAATAAAGTTTTAACTACTAATTTGAGAATTTACAAAAGATTTTTTGGAATAAGCAGGGAAAAGGTAATTAAAATTTGATTTTAGAAAGTTACAAATGGACTAAGGGTCTAGATGAATTTGAAATAATATTTTGAAATTATAAAGAACTCTTCCTGTGGAAAAATGTCTGATTAAAAAAATAGAATGAGATTTTAAAAACTGGACACAATGAAACTCAAAGATTATAATGCAAAGACAAGAAGACATGAACTTGACTGTAAAATTACAGAATGGAACAAAATATTCTAACATTGGACATATTGAAGATATTTCTTTGGGGAAAAAAGGATTCTGATATTAATACTGTCAAAAAAGGACTTTTGAGGTGTTTTATGGATTTGTATATAGATAAGGGATGGGATATGGAAAGAGATCATTTGTATTTTAAGAGATAGTAAGTTAATAAATTATTTATTTTTTTATCCTTATTTTTCTATTTTCTTTTCTTTCTTTTCGGCACTTCTACTTTCTTTCTATTCTTTTAATTTGCATTAGTTTTTACAGTGTGAGAACCAAATCCTATGTGTGGCCCATAGCAGGCTACATTTATACTGTACATTTGTTTTTTTGTCACTTTGATTCTGACAATCTTACAGACGTTTCTGGAATAGAAACTCTGCTCATTATTTTTATAGGGATACAAAATTAATTTTCAATGGAGGTAACAAGAAGCAAAGGTCCTCGGGTACTTTTCATAAAGTTTATTATTTAGTTTTTATTCTGTTTTGGCTGCATATTATTAACATATTCTCTGACATGCCCACACCCACAGATTTCTCCCCCCCCCCCAAAAAAAGTGTAGTAAATCTGAATTCTTGTACAATAGTGCCCTCTGGTGGTTCACATACCAATTCATCTCAGCTAGCAATATTTGGGAATGAAACTTCTATTTTGCATATAAATCAGAATCCCTAGATTCTACAAATTATCTAGAGAAATTTAGTTAGAAATGAATGAATGAATGAATCTAAAGGAAGTTTTCCATGATGATAAAGACAAATGTAATTTCATCTGTCTTTGGGAGTATTGGTTTTCCTGCGTCTACTGTGATACCTAAATGAAAAAAAAAAAAAGAAGATATATTAAGAGTGTCTCAGACACCAAATAATTTAAATACTTGTTTTTTAAGAGATTAGGAGTGTTATTAACAGTTATGTTTGAAAATGTTAATTTTATAAAGGAAGAATGTAGACATGTTCTGTTTATCTAATAATTAAACCATTTTTTGTGCAGTTTCTTTAATCATGTAACAAATCTATTGTTTTGGTTCAAGGGCAAAAGTAATTCCCAGCTGTAGAAGGATTCCAATTTTTTTAAAAATATGAACCCTGCCTGGAACATTCAGAGGGGCCAAAGCATACCCAATACTATTCCCACTTTCACTGAAATGTCTGGAGGAAAAAGGAACAAGATTTTCCTAGAAAAAACCTGTGGTACCAAATTCAAAGGGAATTGTGGTGTATTGTAACAGTTCAGGGTCCTTCAAGGGAGACTATGCATTCCAGAAGAGTTAAGAGACAACTCAATTCAGACAGTTTGTGTGAAAGAGTATGAAGAGAGCCATTCCCTAACAGTTCCCAGAGTATAGGCTTGTATAGCACAGTGCTTTAGTTTGGCAAGATTCTGTACAGAGGTAGTGAATAATAAAGAAATCTGCTTAATGAATCACCATGTGTCTTTTTTAATTCTGAGGGCCTGATAGGAACCTTGCATAAAAAGCATAAAAGTACAATATGGATACATCCTATTCAATACCTTCTTGATCTTTCTTGCACATAATAGAAATCCATGACACACCTGAAACTTCCTCAAACCGTGTCTCATCCAAAGCTGCATATTGCTTTAAGAGCATATGATTGACACCAAGACATTTAGAATGCAAATTATGTGTACATCAACTGGGCTACAGGCATATCAACTTCCCAAAGAAGTACAGGCCCCAGTCACATGATACTTTTTCACCACTTCCACTGGGAAGCAATTTCATTAACGAGTATTTATTGGCCCAGACAGGGTCTTATTTTCTTTTGACCCCTGAAATAAGCGCTTGGCCTTATTTTTGGGGAGGTCTTATTATTTTTGAGGTGCAGGAGGAGACGAGCGTGGTCACCTCATGGCTGCTGCTGGGTTGCAATATTTTTTGGGGGGGCTTATTTTTGGGGGAGGGCTTCTTTTAGCACATGTGCTCAAAAGCCCAATTGGACTTATTATCCGTGGAGGTCTTATTTTTGGGGAAACAGGATAATTCCATTCTATTTTAATTCTACAATGGATACCTTCAGAAATACTTACTGTCCAACAGGATACCAGCGATGTTTGGTTGTGTAAAACATTTTACTAAGTGTCTCAATTGTGGGCTCCTTCTTGTAGTCTTTCTCGTCTTCTAATTTAGATTTCAGGACTTGTTCATGTGTTTCTTCTTTATAGGTTACAGGGTCTAGTTGTGGAATGGGCTGTCAAAGTATATGTTATCCAAATTAAGAAATATAACTAAAAATCTATTTCTCCAAAGAGATTCCATTTATTAACACTACACATCCAGATAAGCTGGCACTATTTGACTATAGTACAGTTAACGGAGTCTAGGAACACAAGACAGCAAAACTATTAACACCAATATACACCAATTAAAGTTTTGTAAAAAGCATTTATAATAAGATCTTACTACAAAGGCTTTCTACAAGACTTTTCTTAGTGTGTAGTTAGCCTAGCATCCTGTTTCCATCAATGGGCAGCCATATTTCTCCAGGAGGTTTACCTGCAAAGCATAAAGACAGTGCTGACTTTCTCACAGTTTTCCTCCATAATCACATATATCCAGCGATATGCTGCTTTTAAATCTGGAAGACGTGCTTATCTTCCTTGTTTAATCCCTTTAATCTATTTAATAATTACATATTTTTGGCACTGAATTCATAAGATAATTGTATGTGAAATAAAAATATTGTCTAAATGATATTCCAATCAATACTAAAATCACTTGACTCCAAACTTTAGAGAAGGAGCATCTACAACTGTACTCCATAATCCATAATCAATGAATGCATTTACACGTTTTAAAATGATCCTGAACAATATTTAAGGTTAAAGTCAATATTGTACTTCTTCTAAATAGTACTGAGATTACAAGGACACCATTTTCCCATTATGTGACCTGAATGTATTTATGTCATCTATTTGAAGGTAGCTCAAAATATCTGAGGTAATCCATTAATGTAATTTTGCTGCTTCCTGCATTTACCTTTTATGATTTATCTTGTAAATCACATTTATATTATGGCATAATACCCATCAACATATATATGTAGAAGAGTACCTAGGCTAGTGATGGCTAACCTTTTTCTAAAGGCGTGCCAAAATGTATGTGTGCACGCTATTGCGCATATGCCCCCTCACCTGCGCATGCACACGTGACCCCCCCACATGTGGGGGAGGGGTGTTTTCGCTCTCCCCAGGCTCCAGGATCCGAACGGATCTTTTCTAAACTTCCGGTTGGCCCACTGGGCCCATTTTCTGTCCTCCCCAGGCTTCAGGAAAGCCTCCGGAGCCTGGGGAGAGCAAAAATGGGTCCAACAGGCCATCCAGAAGTTTGGGAATGATCCGTTTCTGCCTTCCAGAGGGCCTCTTGGAGCCTGGGTGGGGCGAAAAACAGCCCAAAAGGCCAACTGAAAGTTCTGGAGGTTTTTCACTTTCTCCAGGCTCCGGAGGCTTTCCTGAAGTCTGGGGAGGGTGAAAACTGCCTCTCCCAGCCCTCAGGAAGGCTGAAAATAAGTGGCTGGCAAGCACATATGTGCCGGAGCTGAGGGCTACTGTGCCGGCAAATATGGCTCCGCGTGCCACCTGTGGCACGCTTGCCATAGGTTCGCCATTATGGACCTAGGCGTAGTAACTATTTTCAGGAAGATGCAATTTTCAGTAACTTACTTTTGTGTGTTCATATGGAATGTCCACTGAAGGGTGATAAAAAACAATTGTCTTTCCATCTGATGTCATAGCAAGTTCAACTTTGCTAGAAAATAAAGCAGATGTCAACATTCCTGCCATTTTAAAATTTGAGAAGATGGCATTGGAGATAATGTTTAATTAAAATTTATGGAAAATATATTAAACAATAATTATTTTGAATGACAACCACAAGCTGTAAAATATTTAACTAAAAGTCACTAACAAGATTAAAAATTGCCAAAATATATTCAAGAATAATATATATTATTAATTAGTTAAACCTAATCAATGTATCAGGCAGGTTAGTTTAAAACAAAGGCACACACCAGTTTTTGCATTTGTCTTCAACCCACAAAGACAAGGGAGTTGCCATGTACTGGGTATATCGTGATGGCACACTGTATGAAACTCAATTACCAGCCCATTCTGTACAAATGTTAGCATCTAACAGTCTTTGTAAATTAATAGTGATAACTTGTAGAATAGTTAATACTTGCCAATTATAGTCATCAGGAAGTGGTGTATATGTAGATTTGGAACAGGCATGAAATATGGCTGCATCTGCAAATACAGGAGCTAAATAGTATAACAGAACACACTGTGAGTCTCTTTTATAGTGCTAATCTAGGGGTTGATGATAAATTTAGGGGTTTTAACAACAATCCAATTGTTTCATTGCTCAAAACTTGTAAATCAAACTGCAACTTTGAAAGAAAAAGGACTTCTATAGGGCAGTTTTATCCAACTTGGTATTCTCTAATATTTTGGATTGGAATTCTCATAATCCTTAGCTTTGGTACCATAGAATAATGGGAACTGGGGACATCAAGCAGAGGAGGCCTGATTTAGAACATATAGAAAAGGGTGAGGTGGGGGAGGGACATAAATGTTCATGGACATTTAAGGCAAGACTACATTGGGAATCCAAGTGTATGCCATTTGATAGCACTCACTAGTATTGAGTTCTGTATTTTGAACAAAAGGAAGACCAACAAGGTTCTTTTTCTGCTCATCTGCTATCCGCACAGTTGCCACTGAAGCTGCATTATTTGTTCCTCTTAACCGATGTAGTCCTGGGAATTTATATTTCTTATCACTCAAAATAACATTATATTTCCTTATCCATGAATATAGGTAGTGAATTTACAATCACAACTAACACTGGAAATTCTGTTGCTAAGCAAAGTGGTTGTTAAATGAATCATACACTATTTTACCTTTTTAGTCCATGGTCATAAAGGGAATCATGAACTTGTTAAACAAACTTGGCTTTCTATTGATTTTACTTGTGGAAATCCCATGGGAAAGTTGCAAATGGTAATGATGTAACCATGGGACACTGAAAGCCTCATAAATATGTTCCAGTTGCCAAATGCCCAAATGTTGATCATGTGAGCAAAGGGAGATTGTGATGATTGTAAGTCACTTATTTTAGTACTGTCATAACTTCAAACAGTTGTTAAATGAATGGTCATAAGGCAAGGACTACCTGTAAAGACATTGACAACTAAGCAAAGATCATAAAAATAGAACTGTTTCTTCTTGCATAAACTGAATACTATTACTGAATAGAAAAGGGCTTAATCAATTTTACATTGAAGTCAATTCTTTCTGTTCCTACCAGTGGTTCTTTCTGTTCTTATCGGTATGGTGCAATGGGGCCTGGTGTCCACCACATGAATGCGCACAGCACATGCGTGCACAGCACACACATGCAGCCTTACCTCTTGCGATGCCTCCGCGACACTCCAGCTGCTCGGTGGAGTGTTGCGCAGGCGCCATACACACCGTGCGCAGAAGCACCAAAGAGCTCAAATACAGGTAAAGAGGGCGGGCGGGTGGGCCCTCCGAAGCATTGTACCAGGATGGTACCCGGTGCTCCCAGAAGGCATCGGTACGCCTGTACCGGGGCATACCGCCTGCAACTACCACTGGTTCCTACCCAAGCTAAGTAACATAGTTTTATAGTGACAACATCCTTGTCTCTTGAGCAAAAGAAGGCCACCACATGGAGGATTTTCAGATGGCCAATGTCTGACATAATGTTCATTTTTTCAGAAAGACTGAAATGGACTGTTGATTTCTAATGTAAGGTCATTACTCTCCTGGCCACAAAGAAGCAGTATTCTAATATCCAATTAGCTAGTAACACAGAGAATGCACAATGCTTACCAGTTAGCAAATGCTTCCTGATGAAAGTTGCCAAATGCAAAACAGACTTCCTTGAGGCTGTGGCCATGGTAGCTAGTCAAAGAGTGGAATTTGGAGAAATCAATTCAGGTTTCATTCCTGTTTAAAAGTCAGCTCATTAGCTTAAATATGTTACGTCAATAACAAGTTAATTACTCCAGTATTCAACAATGTTCAATGCATTACTAGGGAGCAATTAACAATACAAAGTCTAATCATTGCCTGAGAATTCATTATTTTAATTCCATAGATGGGAACTACTTCATATTCACAGTCATTATTGACTATTTCATTAGCCATATTCCTCTAAACCGACCTAAAAAAATTCTAGGTATGTGGACTTCAGTTTCCAGAAATACCATCAATGGCCATATTGATTGTGGAATTTTGGGTCTGAAGTCCACATACCTGGAAATTGTCATGACTGAGAAGCACTGCTTGAAAGCCGCACATTTCCAAGGTAGAATTAGGATTTTGCAAAAATAAGGATAAATAACCAAAAGTTATATAAAGCATGCAAGAACTGTTTCCCCCTTAATTTTGGCTGGATGGAGTCACCGAAGCAGCAGGTGTGAGCTTAAATGGACTCCAGAGGATGGTAGAGGACAGGAAGGCCTGGAGGAATGTTGTCCATGGAGTTGCGATGGATTGGACATGACTTCTCAACTAACAACAACATGTTTATAAATAACTCAAGGCGGTGAACATACCTAATACAGTACTCCTTCCTCCTCCTATTTTCCTCATAACAATGACATTATATGGTTCCACCTGGGCTGAGAAAGAATGACTAGGCTAAAGTCACCAAATCGGCTTTCATGGCCAAAGTGGGACACACTCTCCCCTTTCGAGGTCAGTATCTTAACTACTAGACCAAACTATAGAAGAAAACTTAAAAAGAAAAAGAAAATAATAGGCAGAAGATATTAATAAAAAATTTGTTACTTGACTGCAACAGCTATTGCTGCCATGGTGTGGCTTTAAATGAGTACTCAAGTTTCTAGTCTGTCCCCAGCCCCAAATCTAAGCAGAATTAATACAACTTGATTGCTTTTCAACTGATTTCCACCCATCCACCCCCTCAATTCCAGCACATTCATCCTTGTTGTTCTTAGTATTTGTCCCAGTTATTTGCAGGATGCACTTGATTTACATTGCGCTTGCATAGTTCTTATCAATGCATGGTGTGACATGAGGTTTTGTTTTTCAGCCAGTTTGTCATTGTTAATTAGGCTGACAGGAGATGACTGGCCCAAAGTCATTCAGCTGGTTGCCATGCCTAGGGGAGGAGGAGAACCTGGCTCTCTCTGTTAACACTCCAGCTACCCAACTGGCTTTCTGCATCTTTACTCAAATATGGCTTTTAAAGTGATTTAAATAAACTAATGTTATTAATATAACCATGAACAAATAAAAGTTAAAATGCTACTTTAGTATTTTAAAATAAACATTTTTTAAAAAAAGGATTTTAAGCCAACACTGAAAAGTGAAAGAAGTATCATTAGGCAAGCATTTTAGGAAGATAGTTCCATAGAGTACGTGTGGGAAAAGTAAAAAATTCTGACTCTTATTGCCAACCATTTAACTTGGAGCCTACTATCATTTGAAATTCTCAGGGAAAGTTTTCAAGGCAGAAGTCATTCCAAATCTTGCTAACAGGTGGTCACAACTAAATCTTATAAGTGAGCACTATCTGGAAAGTAGAAGGTTTATCTCTTTCAGGACTTGAGTAAATTTATACAGGCAGGCTCTAACCTAGTGGTGTCTTGAGCTTTGAAATGACAATACTATGAACTGGTTTAGAATTAAACCATTAAATTCACAAACAGGTATAATATGAATTATAGGGTTGTAATGGTATTACACTTAAAAATGATATTTAAATTCAGTTAAGTCTACGATAATAACCTACATATTGTAAATCCTATGCAATTAGTCTTAAAACTTTATAAATTGGCTTACACAACAAAAGGCAGAAATAACGACCTGTCTTGCTCTCATTTTACTGATTTTACCTGATTCTAGTCAGTATTTACCAATCATTTGGGGTAAAAAAAAATAACCCAATTTAGTCACCAAATTTGGTGCTAATTAATAATTTAATTTGTATGCCACTCGACTCCCAATGACTCTGTAAACTGTGTTAGACTACGAGTGCCATAGAAAGGGAGATTCAACTACTAGGAGAAGAGTGGAAGCTGTAGTCTAACACGTGAAGAATACCGGATACCAGAAGTGCCCAACTACACTTTTTAAACGGCATAAGCTAAAATTTCTATATGAGGGTGCAACTTTTGCGAAAGGACAATAGGACGTGGCCAGACAGCCAAAAGTCTAATCTAGGGAAAAGAAATAACGCAGAAACGCTTACCACATAGAGGACACCGGATCTCTATGACATAGACGAATTCTAGGAATAACTTCCGGGAACCCCTCAAGATCCACCAAAGGACATTGGGAAATGTAGTTCGGATGAGAAGACAGTCCAATTGGTAGCGTCCGAGTGTGTAATGATAGACCTTAGCACGGGAGTTTTCCCGATTAGTTTCGTTTTCATAGTTTATCAGCGCAAACTTTCCTTCTTCCTTTCTGATTTAAATGGCATGGTGCGTGAAAATAGAACAGTTCAATCTCGCGTGAGATCGGATAGGACTGGGAATGATTCCTACCTGAAACTCTGGACGACTTCAGAAAGTAATGTGTGCTCTGCCAATAACTTTTGGGGTAGTTCTAGTATATCGCTGAAGTGTCTGATTTCTAGTTATTTGACAATAATAATAATAGAAAATCATAGTTATAGTCACATAAGAGACTAATTCTTGATAAAGTCAACAGTTTACTGAATACAGTTTTTGGTATAGGTAACACATAGGCATTTACATTAACAGTATAAGTTGGATTGTTAGAGTAAGATAGATTAAAATTGTAATGGGTAAATTGAGGTAATTGTTTGTAAAACTAGATCAACTATGATTTACTGAACCAGGTTGATTATATGTGTGGAATCAGCAAATAAGTGGATATTTTCCACTCAAATTCTCCTGCTGAAATGGGGGGAGGGGGGAAACACTTAATAACTGGGTCCTAGAAACAAATTTTATAAGTGTGAGCTGGTCAGTAATAGTACAAAGCAATAACACATGCTTGTGTTCAGATATAACTGCCTTACTTCCAAATAGATAATTCTATAACTGGTTTTGACTGGAGACTCTAACAAAAATATATTTGATGGGCTTAAAGCCCTCCTACCCTAGTAGGTAGAGTGTAAGTCAATTTCTTGACTTGTGTTTCTACATTTGGGGGAAAACAATATATATTGTAAATGTTAGGCCTCTGCAAGATCTATTCTTAGCATCTCCAAATTACTTTGGGAAAACTTAGAAACTGAATCAATATAGGTGACATAGTTCATTTAATTTAAGTCAGTTTTGTGATCTATTGGACCAGAGGTGAACAGCCTATGACCCACAATGAAAAAGTCCTCCAAATTCAGACCCACTAATATTTTGTTCCTTAAAAATATTCAGTGATCAAAATGGTTGGCTGGTTTCAGATTTATTTGCAAAATACAGACTTAATATTCCAGTGCGGTCGGATATAATAATGGAAGGCTAACATTCAGAAACTGTGGTGTAAGAGGAAAAGAAAGAGGCAATACTAGGTGGGAGGAGATGAGAGTATAAATAATTTGGGAAATGGCATGTCCAGTATTGTGGACAAGCTTCCAAAAAGTCTTGCTCGGCATACCTTTCTGCAGTATCATTATTGTATCTTCCTAACAGAAGCCCAGAATAAAAGAGCAACCAATGCTACTATAATATGAAAACACAGACAAAAAAAACCTTTAACACAGTATGGAAAGATATGAAGACAACCTGTTTTAGAATTTAGAACAAACCAAAATAATCCATGGTAGGCTGAAACAATAAAAGGAGGGTAATAGGATGTAGGTAGGGATGCAGAAATAGTACCAGAAAGAAGAGAGAGTCAAGCTATTCTCCAAAGTATCTGAAGGCAGGACAAGAAGCAATGGATGGAAACTAATCAAGGAGAGAAGCAAATTTCTTGACAGTGACAACAATTCATCAGTGGAACAACTTGCCTACAGAAGTTGTGAATGACTCAACAGTAGAGGTTTTAAAGAAGAAATTAGACAACCATTTGTCTGAAATAGTATAGTTTCCTGCCTGAGCAAGGGGTTGAACCAGAAGACCTTCAAGATTCCTTCCAACTCTGTTATTCTGTTAAATAGTCCCTTTCAGTCTGACTTCACTGGCTATCTCTCTGTGAGAACGGCCCATGAGTGTTGATGTAGGGTAATTGTTATTGGTGACATTCAAGGATATTGAGTTCTATGTTCATGCAGTAGAAAATAAACAGAACCTTTTTTCTAGAAAAAAAATTACAAACTTACCTGCATTTAATTATTGACAGAGCATCTGTTCTTTAACTGATTTGCAAAAATAGTTAGGTCTATTCAACACACAGAGTAGGCAAGGTATGCTTTCTAAGTATCTGAATTTGATAAATCATAACATTAAATCAATGGAAGTGGTCTGTACTTCTTAAAAGCTTACACTTCACTAACTTTATTACAAACCCATATTCACCAACCCTGGAATTTATTATGAATTAAGTAAAAATTACTTTTGAACTATCAGGTATATAGAATTGTATGCTAGATTTATAAACATTTTAAGATGTTTTAAATACTTTGCAGATGAGGATATCCTCTCCCTTGGTAAGAATACAATAAAGATAAATTTATACCATAATTGTGAGTGCATTTTGTATCTATCAGCATAAAGTTGCCTGTTGCCTTCAACTGTCTTCAAAATACAAGTAGTCCTCAACTTACAACCACAATTGAGCCCAAAGTTTCTATTGCTGAATAAGGTAGTTATTAAGTAGTTTTGCCCTATAACATTTTTGCCAGTTGTCAAGCAAATCACTGCAGTTCCTATGTGAATCATGTGGTTATTAGGTGACTCTGACTTCCTCAATTGACTTTGATTGTAGGAAGTCAGCTAGGAAGGTTACAAATGGTGATCACATGACCCTGGGACAGTGCAACTTTCATAAACACCAGTTGCAGAGTGCCCAAATGTTCATCTCCTGACCATGGAGATGCTGCAGTGGTAGTGACAAATGATCATAAATCACTTTTTTTCAGTGTTGTAACTGAATGATCACTAAACAATTGGTTGTGTGCAAGGACTACCTGTATTCTTCAAAACATCTTGCATTATCATTTCTTTTTTCAATACCTTGTGACAAAATCAAGCAATAATCATGAAATAACTTATTAACAAGCTAAGAGATTAAGAAGAGTTTGTAGTGATGTCAATGCAGGGGTGTCAAACTGGATTTGTTCGAGGGCTGGATCAGCATTGTAGTTCTCCTCTGTCGGCTAGGTGCGCGGGGGAGATAGGATGGATGCACCCTCCTGTGCTGTTTTCGGCCTGGACGGCTTCCAGCAGCACTTTGCTGGCCAAAACAGGGCCCAGGGGCCTGGCACACATCCCCTTTATGTTGCCAGAGGAACAGCAGGCTGGTCATTTGCTATTTTCAAGCCGGCACCACAGGCCATATTTAAGTACCCTGTGGACCAGATCTGGCCCGCAGGCCTTGAGTTTGACACCCATGCCATAGAAGGATCAAAATCTATAAGATGATAAATGAAGTATTATGTTCAAATAGGCTTCTAAAAAGAATTGGGTAAAGGTCCCAACTTTACAACCACCATCTTTCAGATTTTGACATCTTCCATTTATTGTTGCTGGCAATCCTTTCTGTCTACTTAATACAAGGCAGAGCTGAGACATTCAGGCAGAGAGTTGCAGCATTGTGACCAATGTAATGGAAATATAGTACTGTAGAATGGAGGCACTACTTTTCCCAGTATTGCTAGAGAGATTGGTTGTTTTTTCCCCTTGGATATTACTTAGGTGATGGTTTCATAATGTGGTTGCTGAATTGCATATTACTTTCTTTAAAGGTAACATTGCTTTTAAGTAAAGTTGCACTTCTGGTGGCTTCATGGACATGGCTATGTCATTTTCTTGGCAATAGTACAGAAATGATTTACTGCTTTCTTCTGAGAGTTCTTTCTCCCTAGTCCGGTTTTTCCTGAATGATCCATATACTAATCAGGCCTGACCCCAATTAGTTTCCAAGCCCACATAAAATCAACCATATGCTGCTTCCTGCTGAGGCAAGGCATTGTTTGCATGTCCTTCAGCAGGTATATGACCGTACCTCAGTCTTCCCCATCTTGGAGTTGAATTAGATATCAGAATTCTCAGTCCACATGACTATTGACATTAAAAAAAATTCTGTACATAAAATAGTTTAACACTGAACTGTGTAGAGAAAATGTAATAATTTTCCATTTAAGCTGCTGGTAACTTAATGGATATGTTAATATGGCCATTGGAAGTCCTTTGGGCTGTCCTCTTGTAAAACAGGGGTGTCAAACTCGTGTTGTCATGGCTGGATCACATATCAGGACCTTTTTCCTCCTTTGCTAAACCGGGTGTGGCTGTGGCCAGTGTGTGATGCATCTGGCCCATGGTCCGGGAGTTTGACAGCCCTTTTCTAGAATATTTTTAAAACCTCACTAGTGTAAGAGACATTTTAAAGAGAGCATCCTGGAGTCAGAAAGTGATTTGTAATTTTAAGACAGGATCTATAGCAAAAGAGAAACACAGATCAGCAGATAAAAGATGTTTTACATTTTCTCAATATAAATTTATTTGAATTCAACTATAATGTTTAATATGGAATTGTAGCATTAAATATTAGTATCATAAAGCAACCTTCCTGGAGGAGCCCTTCATAATAATACCAGCATTTTACAGTCACGGGGGGAGTAGGAAACTAGGAAGTTATTTGTGAAGGACTTGATTTCTAAGAAGGTCCCGTGATCAGATAACTATCATTCCAGTCTTGGATTCAGAAGAGACACCGAAAATAGAGTTGCAATTGAAATATGAAGGCATGAAAGAATTTGCTTTCAGTGCAAATGCAATATGAAAACAATATTAAATAACCAATAGGTATGAGACAGCTGCCTCAGGATGCAAGTTTAGGATGTAGTGGAATGGCAATACTGTACTGACTTTTACAGCAAGAGAGATACAGCACTGATAACTGAACATATGTTTGATATGATCTGCCTTTATGCACAGGTATTACATTAAATTGATGGTCTCTAACTTATCTACATGACCACGGAGAAGTACATAAGGTTATCAGATATATGAAGAAAGAAAGGACATGGAGAATTGGACAAATCGGTGGGTGGGCGGAACACACTTATTTCTTGGCATCCCCAACAAAATTGGGGGAAATTATAGTGAAAATAAAGTATTTAGACCTATATGTGTATGAAATTACTTTTGTCAACATCAGTTTTTTTAATTGCAGGGATGTACTGGAGCCAATTATTGGCAAAAGTCTTGTATGTAAACAGGGAAGCCTTACTCCCTTCTAGTATTGATGTTACCTAGTTGGATAATGAAGTGTCTGCAAGAAAACAACCAAACTTAGACAACCAAGGAACTCCATAGTTCAACTCTGAGCTACAAATATTCTCTTTTATTAGAACCAAAAGTCTGTAACTAATTAAGATCTTATTAATTTCAGGCAATAGGGAAAGTTGACTCCACAGCACGAATCTACAAATTAAAATCATCAACCTTGTTAACCATTAGCATTCATTAGGGAAGCACTGCCTCATGGTTGAAAAGCTGATCCGGAAGAGATACTCAAAAGGTCTGACAATATTTGATTTTAAGCCTGTGCTTGCTGAATGGAGGGCAGGAGGATAAAAAGACCATGTCTTCCTTTTGCCCAACTCTAATAATCCTAGGTGCTTAAGGATATTGTATACTGAGGGAGAACAATGCCTTATCTTGTTGGTAGATCTAGAGGAAATAAAACTTAAAATACACTGCTTAACACTGTATTAACTAATTTAAAAAAACCACATTTAATATTTCCCCCATGAGCCATATTAACATGTTTACTTTTTTGATGATTACGTACTGTTCCACCTAAAGGAAATTGGCAATGCTAAACTTTGTTTAGTTTTTTATTCTTTTGTGTATTCTTTTGGGCTGTCAGACTCCTGAATGTGAAAGAACATCAAGTTACGATGGACTTGCAGGGCCGGTGCAACGTATAACATGTTCACACTGGTGTAATGGGACTGAGTGTTTGTTAATATGATTTATTGGTTTAGGGATATTTTCTTTTTTTCTTTTTTGTCTTCACTGAGCTGTATTATGTTGGGGAGGTGTACTGAGGGAGCTCAACCAATCTCATTGTACATATGTTGTGCACTGACAATAAAGAATTATTGTTGTTATTATTATTATTATTATTTGGTTAATCGTTGGTGAGATTCACAGCCTTTGAGGCTGGTTGGTAGCTCAACAGCTNACACTACTAAATATTGTCATGTAGAGTTTATCTATCTATCTATCTATCTATCTATCTATCTATCTATCTATCTATCTATCTATCTATCTATCTATATCTATCTCTCATCTGTATAGACAGTATTAAACAAATAAATAGCTTGTTTTATTTATTTTGTTTAGCAAAATCAGTTTCTATGCTTTCTCAAAGTATATCTGAAAACTTACAGATATCAGCAAATGGAAATTTTATAAATTTAAACAAATTTTCAACTCAGTATTTTTTTTTCAAATAGATCTTTTTTCAAATAGATCTGGAAGTACATAAGAAATTTGAGGACATACTGGTGCCTGATTTGTCAAACAAACTAAAGGTTTTTTTTATGAAGCAGTTTTTATATTTAGCCATGCATGTTAAAAATAGTTTTGTTAGTACTGTATTAGAAGGTGGTTCTGATTATTTCTTCTGTTAATCAGACGAGTAAAAGCAGGATAGCACTAACTAGTGTTTTTCAATTTCATCTAGTGTGGTAGAAAACTCATTTCCAAAATAACAACAACTGGATAATGTGCAAGCAATCATGTTATTAGTTCCAAGACTTTCAGGTTTCAGTGAGTCACTAGCCTCATGCCCCCAGATGAACCCAGAGCAAGAGCTGCAAGGTTACATGGGTCTTATATAGAATGTTGATCAAGGACAATTTGAGCAGGTGTTTACAGCAGCAGAAGACCTCAAATATAGAAAAAAAAGGTTGTTCAATTTTTGTTTGTTGTTCAATTTTTCAAAAAAGTTGGACCCAAAGAAAGACAACAGCATTAAGAAAAGCTGTGATAGTTGAGCTGAGCTAAGATTTTAGTAGTTATTCCAACAAACTACCCTGCATTTACAGTGGAAGAGGGAAGAGATAAGGAAATTGCAGCATTTATCCTTGAATCGTGTCATTTCAAGGCATGAACTCTTACCAACAACTGCTGTGTTGCTGTTTTTTCTTCTTTCAGGAAACCCAGCGTTTGCTGGCAGAACCTGTTCCTGGCATAAAGGCAGAACCAGATGAAAGCAATGCACGTTATTTTCATGTGGTCATTGCAGGGCCACAGGATTCCCCCTTTGAGGGTGGGACATTTAAACTTGAACTATTCCTTCCAGAAGAATATCCAATGGCAGCTCCGAAAGTACGTTTCATGACCAAAATTTATCATCCTAATGTAGACAAATTGGGAAGAATATGTTTAGATATTTTGAAAGGTAAGCATTTTGGAATCATTATTACAATGATAGCTTCTTTTAGCAGATTGTGAAGATATTCAGAAATTATTTCAGTGATTTCCCAAGTTGGGAGGTGTGGGAGAAAGAGTGTTTTTATTAGAAATGCTGTTGAGTACCCTCTCACTTGCTTCCTCAGATAAATGGTCTCCAGCTTTGCAGATCCGTACAGTTCTGCTATCAATCCAGGCTTTGTTAAGTGCACCCAACCCAGATGATCCACTAGCAAATGATGTAGCTGAGCAGTGGAAGACCAATGAAGTCCAAGCCATAGAAACAGGTGTTGTATCTTCATTCTAGGCCTAGTACCTCTCTTCAAGATACCTACCTACCTATCTATCTACCTACCTACCACCACCATCCCCCTTTCTCTTTCTGATGTGGGTGATTTGAAGAAAATATGGCCCTTGCCTGTGTTTCACATTGCTTTTCTTTTGCTTTTGCTTTATAAACATTTTTAGATTATAGATATGCATGCAAGCAGTTAACTTTTTTAAATGAAGGACTAATATCTGGTTAAGCATAATTTCTACCTACCGTACCCTCCATTGCTGAAGTTTACTTTCCAGCTAGTTTGTTAAGGTTACTTGAATAAGCATATTGTGTATACCAGAAAAAAAACATTAGATAAATTATTCTTCCAAATGGTATGCTTTAGTGTCACAAATGAGACACACTGATCACTACTAATTATGATAAATACTGCATAACAGATAGTAGTTATCACATGAGCCGAGGTGGCGCAGTGGTTAAATGCAGCACTGCAGGCTACTTCAGCTGACTGCAGTTCTGCAGTTTGGCTG